AACATTTGAGCCCCTAAATTCTCTTTCCATCTTCTTTGTAATGTTGAAATAAATGTCATAAAATACAACCTCGTTCTCTTTCTGTTGAATCTAGTTGCATCCATATTAGAACAAATTTTGCACTTTACAGTATGTTGTACCTTTTATCCTGGTAGGAAATGTACCTACTAAGTTTCTAGGCTTGGACTATTCTGTGTTCAATTTAAAACTTAAGAAATTCACTTTGTCCTCCATTTATGATGATTTTCCCTTTTACAGCTATCTATGAACAGTCATGTGAAGCTTATAAGCACAGAGGAAATACTTCTGGGTTTTATTATATAGATTCGGATGGAAGTGGCCCTCTGGGACCATTTCTTGCCTATTGCAATATGACTGGTAAGTCAATCAACTATCATTTAATAGTCAAATTTTGCATTTGCATGGACACTGAAAATGCACAAACTTAAAATGATACAACTAGAAAGCTGACTTAACTGAAACGTAATTAAAATGTTTATTTCAGTAGAAACCTTGAGCATACATCTTTTTTTAAAAATTGTTTCATGGATATGATATAAACTTGTAATAGTTAATGTTTCCATTCGGTCCTTGAAGAAAAACGATAGTGATTTCTGTGGGCAGGTTGATAACTTGTGAAAGCTTTGAAAGATGTTCACTTTTTAAATGTAGGTAAACATAAAACTTATTTATTCTTGAATTATGTACTTAAATAAATTTACACAGGGTTTAATCAGCACCGAAAATGCAGTGGCTTAAATTGAATATCCGCTCACAATAAAAACAGAAGGAAGCCCTAATAAATGACCAATAGCAGGGTACTGAATCGTATAAAGAACAACCACGAAAACAGCCACAGCAAATAACACAGTGAGTGGTGCGGTCGTGAAAGCTCTCTCCCGGCTGGTGCTGTTAATAGGGGCTGTCCAGTTGGATCCGACGCAAAGTGACGTCACATACGATGGACCAAAACGCTGCCAGAATTGGCAGCGGCCACACGGTTGCGCATATGTGAGATCCCATTGTTGCAGCCGCTGTGCTGTATCTGTCATTGAGGGCCTCCTCTTTTTGGTTGTCCCTCCCTTTACCTAATTTGATGTCCTTCTCCAGGGACAGGTCTCTCCTGATACCATGTCCAGAGTGTGTCAGACAAAAACCTTTCCATCCTGGCTGCGTAGGAGCATTCTGGCTGTGTTTCTTCGAAGATGAATTAGATCAATTTGGTTTTTGGCAGTTCCTAATAATTTCAATAGTCTTTGCCAGCACCATTCTTCAAATGTTTAGATTTTTGTTCAGTCTCCCTCATGGAATATCCAACTTTCACATGCATATGAGCCGACTGAAGATACCATGATTTGTGTCAGGTGCATTATCGTCTTCAAAGTAATCTGGCTTCTCAACCCTATAAAGAAGTCTTAGGCAGCAGATTTAACGAATGCAATGTGTCTTTTGATAGCTTGACTGCTGCTGCCATGAGTCTTGACAGTGAATCTAAACAAGATGAAATCCTTGACAACTTCAACCTTTTTTCTGTTTTTCATGATGTCAGCTAATGGTGCCAGTGTGCGGGATCTGGTTTTATTTACAGTGAGCTCTGATACACCCTGGAGGCCACTGCCCTTGATGTTCATCAGCAGTTGCTTCAAGCCCTCCTCACTTTCAGCAAGCCAGGTTGTGCCATCTTCACAGCACAAGGTGTTGAAAAGCCTTCCTCTACCCCGAATGCCACGTTCTCCTTCACAGAATCCCGTTTCCCTGATGATTTGATCAGGATACAGATTGAATAAATATGGCGAGAGGACACACAACCTTGACACACAACTTTCCTAACTTTTAAGCCATGCAGTATTCCCTTGTTTGCTTCAGACAACCGTCTCTTGATCTATGTACAAGTTCCACATGAGCCCAAGGAAGTGTTCTGGAATTCCCATTCTTCTCCAGGAGTGTAAATAATGTCTTATGAGCCACACGGTCAAATGCCTGGCATAGTCAATGAAGCACAGTGAACATCTTTCTGGCGTCCTCTGCTTTGGGCCAAGGTCCATCTGACATCAGCAATGCTATCCCTTATTCCATTCCCTCTTCTGAATGCAGCCTGAACCTCTGGCAACTCCCTGTCAATGTGCTGCTGCTGCCATTTTGAATGACCTTCAGCATGTGATATTAATGAAATTGTTCTGTAATTTGAGCATTCTGTTGGGTCACCTTTCTTTGCAATGAATACGCAGATGGACTCTTCCAGTCAGTTGGTCAAGTAACTTCCAGCCAAGTGGCCAAATTTCCTGACCGAGACTGAGTGCTTCCAGTGCTGTATCAGCTGGTTGCAACATTTCAGTGGTATTCCATCTTGCTTTTGGCGAATGCTTTCAGTACAGCTTGGACTTCTTCCTTCAGCATCATCTTTTTTTATCATTTTATTGGGGGCTGGTACAGCCCTTATCACCATCCATCTATCCATCCATCCATCCATCCATCCATTGTGTCCAGTCAGCATCATTTGTACATTTGTTGCCGTCATCATTTTCAGGGCATTTTTTTTCTATTGAGTCCTTGGTATCAGCTCCTCATTTTCCCCCTCCCTCATGAACCCTTGATAATTTATAAATTATTATTATTTTATATCTTACACTGACCAATGTCTCCCTTCACACACTTTTCTGTTGTCCATCCCCCTGGGAAAGGGTTATAGGTAGCTCATCATGATCAGTTCCCCTTATTTCCCTCCATCTTCCCCTTCCCCTCCAGGTTTGGCTACTCTCATTATTGGTCCTGAGGGGTTTATCTGTCCTGGATTCCCTGTGTTTCCAGCTCTGATCTCTACCCATGTACATACTCTGGTCTAGCCAGATTTGTAAGGTAGAATTGGGGTCACAATAGTGTGTGTGTGGCGGTGGGGGGGAGACATTAAAAAACTAGAGGAAAGGTGTATGTTTCATCAAAGCTATACTGTGCCCTGATTGGCTCGTCTCCTCTCTACCACCCTTCCGTAAGGGGATGTCCAATTGCCTACAGATGGGCTTTGGGTCTCCACTCTGCACTCCCCGTCATTCACAATGATATGATTTTTTTTCTGGGTCTTTGATGCCTGATACTCATCCTCTGTTCTTCTGCATATGCTACCTCGTGAAATGGTGGGACGTCAACTAGCTATTTTCGGTATGGTGACCACGTATAGTCATTTCACCCTTGGATGTGTTGTGCATCATTCAGTATTTTGCCCATGGAATCTTTCAGTGTTGTTACTCGAGACTTGAATTTTTTCTTGAGCTTTTTTAGTTTAAGATCTGCTGAACGTGTTTTTCCTTTTTGGTTTTCTCGTGCGAGAATTTTGCGCATTTCATTGTAATTTACTTTGTCTTCTCAAGCTGCCCTTTGACATTTTCTGTTCAGTTCTTTGACATCATCCTTTCTTCTCTTGGCCTTAGCCACTGGTGGAATCATGGTGAAGTGTTGGATGGTTAACCGCAGGGTCAGCAGTTTGAAACCACCAGCTGTTCCTCGGGAGAAAGATGAGGCTTTCTACTCCCTTAGAGTTTCAGTCTCAGAAACCTATCAGGACAGTTCTGCGTTGTCCTGTAGGGCTCTATGAGCAGGGATATGCTTGATGGCCATGCGTTTGGTTTGGTTTGGGTACTCTATAATTAGAGCAAGGTTCAGAGTCTCCTCTCATCCATTTTAATCTTTTCTTTCCTTACTGTCTTTTAAATATTCTTTCTTCCTTCCTGTATGATGTTCTTGATATCATCCCACAGCTTATCAGATGTGCTGTCAGTAGTGTTGAATGCATGCGATCTCCAGCTTCTCTCCATCACAAAGCTAATCTGTCTGGAGATGTTCTCAGGATTTGCATGGAATACTCGCTCTTTGTAGTCTGTTTTTAGTCTGGAAGCTCTGCTGAAACGTGCTCACTTTGGGTGACCCTGCTGATACTTGAAATACCAGTGATACAGCCTTCAGCCACACACAAACCACCACAGTATGACAAGCGGTGGCTGTCCTTGATAGCAGGAGTAATATAAGGATGCTTGCCGTCAACCCAGATGTTCACCACTGTATTGGAAGCCCTAATGCATACCACTAAACTAGAAGGAGGAAGTATGATGATGATGAGGTGGAAGAAGAAAAAATGGTGGTAAACAATCGGGTCTTAAAATGTCGTGGGAAGAAATGGAATTAAAAGATAGTGGGATTTTCCACGAAGTTTTGAGGCCTTTCTGTGCATACTAAAAAGGAAGAACTAAGATTCTCATTGATAGGTGGCTTGATTATAGATTAAGATTTTTCTAAATAATGTACAGGTGAACCATTAAACTTCAGAAAAATCACTGGCTATAAGCTTAATATAAAATTGATTCTGCATTCCAGCAACAAACAATTCAAAAATGAAATGTTAGATGGTTCTCTTTTCAACAGTATGAACAATCTCAAACATATAGGAATAACTCTCGGAAAGATGTTCAAGCCGTCTCCTCAGCTCAGCATAAAGGCTCTTGAGATACATGGAAATCCAAAATAATTAGGAGAACATACAACTTTCGGTGATTAGAACTCGGTATTTTACAGATGCCAAGTTTACCCAACTAGATACTGATTTAGTGCAAACCCACGTTGAAATGCCAACAGTTTGGGTTGTTGGTTGGTAGGCTTGTTTTGGTGAAAACTAGCAAATGGATTTTAAAATCTATCAGCAAACACAAAGGGATAAGACGAACTCAATCCATCTTGAAGAACAGTGTTGGGAGATTTACAAAAGTAAAACAGGTTGTGCAAAGCAGTACGTTATCGACAGAAGGATAAACAAATAGGCCAGGTATGAATGGTTGATTGATTACATCATCAAACACAGACACAAACAACTGATTCTCCCTGAACTGTGCTATCCACTATGGAATGTATGAGTGCTTATTGAAATTAAATTATAACTAATTAATAAAATTAAGTGAATTTAACTATGTTAATTTTTCTAAATTTAATTAATTCATATTAAAATCAATGATTAAATATTCCGCTCCTCAGTTTCATGAACCACATTTCAAATGCTTGGTAGCCTCCTGTGGCGAGGAGAGAATGCATGATCAATGAGAATGAAGAACCTTTCCATCATCGCATGACGTTATGTCAGACAATGCCATGCTAGGAAGTCACTGTTTTTGCAGTCACATAAAGCAGAAAAGGACCAGGTTATGTTGAAGCAGGAGATAATAGGAAGAGGATGTGCTATTTACAATTGGGCAGGCAAAGAAGGCCAAACTGAGCAAGTGACAGTTGGTGTCATGGTTGAGGGAGCAGAGAAAATCAGCTAACTAATAGGGCTAAGAACCTGCTAGGCACAGGAAAGGCAGATGCGAAGGCCTGAGAGAGGAATGCAGCCGATGCAT